TGATCCTGCTCCTACCAGATTCTTAGGACCTTGGCTTGGGGCAAAAAATGAACTGGCCCACCTTGTCCACAAAGCAACCTCAGGAGGGCAAGGAAAAGGAACGGACGGAGGGGCACTCCGTAGCTGCTTCCGACTCAATGGGAGTTCTCCAGCTCGGTCCGGGCATTTTTAGTGCTACCTCGTCGCCTTTCAGACCTAAGGTGCCAACCTCCAGGTGGGGCCTGGAAATCTCTTGGAATTATAGCTATCGCCAGGCAACAGAGATTAGTTCCTCTGGAGAAAATGGCTGCTTTGGAGGGTGGAGTCTATGGCATTATCCCCTCCTGAGGTTCCCCCCCTCCCCAAACCCCCGCAGACTCCTCCCCCCAAATCTCCTGGAATTACCCAGCATGGAGCTGGCAAACCTACTGCTACAATATAACCGCCTGACAAAATGTGCTTGCACACGAAATCTCACACCTTGAATAAAACTTTGTTGGTCTTCAAGGTGCCCCCTGGACTCTAACATGGCTGCCCACCTGGATCTACTGATACAATACTGACTGTATTGCAACTTCACGTATTTGCAAGTTCCGTCCCCCCTCCCGCCCCATCCTCTAAGCTGAGTTAGTGTGAGCTAGCTCACAGTTTTTTAGCCTCCGGCTCACACATTTTTGTCCTAGCTCAGGAAGGGATGGCTCCAAACTAATTTATGCACATGCCAAATTGTTCGCTCACAACTTTAATGCCAGTAGCTCACAAAGCAGAATTTTTGCTCACCAGACTCCACAGCTTAGAGGGAGCATTGGTCTTGACTAGTGTTCCCCCTAAGCTGAGTCAGTGCGAGCCAGCTCACAGTGTCTTAGCCTCCGGCTCACACGTTTTCATCTTAGCCCAGGGAGGATGGGGCTCCGGAGCAAACTAATTGATGCGGTAGCCAAATTACCCACTCCCAACTTTAATGCCAGTAGCTCACAAAGTAAAATTTTTGCTCACAAGACTCCACAGCTTAGAGGGAGCATTGGCCCCATCTAGATTTTCATAGAATCATAGAATGTTAGAGTTGGAAGGGACCTTGCAGGTCATCTAGTCCAACCCCCTGCACTCTGCAGGAGTATAGCCGAAAAAGGGCCCTACATACCTACAACATACCCAAAAGACGGTTGTCCACCCTCCGCTTGAAAACATCCCGAGAAGGAGCATCCACCACCTCCTGAGGCAGACTGCTCCACCACTCTTACAGTTAGGAAGTTTTTCCTGATATTTAGCCGGTATCGACTCCCTTATAATTTCCACCCATTAGATCTAGTCTTGCAATCTGGAGCAAGAGAGAATAGATCCGCTCCATCTTCTACAGGACAGCCCTTCAGATACTTGAAGACTGCAATCATGTCCCCTCTAAGCCTTCTCTTTCCCAGGCTAAACAGACCCAACTCTTTCAGCCTTTCCTCCTAAGACTTGGAATCCAACCCCCTCACCATCCTGGTTGCCCTCTTCTTGGGAATTGATTTGGGGCGTTCACAACTCCAAAAGCACAGTTTTCATAATCTCAGAAAAGTAGATTTTACTAAACATTTCAAATGACATAAACACTGCCCCTCCCCCTGCAGATTTTCAACATCTGACTCCCTCATGACACCACGGTGGTCTGACTCTCCCCAGAGGCCAATTAAGCAGGAAGTGTTGATTCAGTGTCCTTTACCACACTTCTTGCGGCATGCGTAGGGAATCCCCAGTGGGGACAGGAAGGTGGTGTGTGTGTGTGTGTCAGGAACCTGACCTAACCACCAGAGACCAACTCATTCCTTCCCAGAAACAGGCACGGTGGCCAGCTTTTGAATTCACCTCTCGAGCCTCAGCAAGCAGGAGATCACAGTTCTCGAGCGGTGTCAGAAGACCTGAATTCAAAACCCCACTCTGCCTCACGGGATCGCCATGGAGAAGGGGAAGACAACATGGCCTGCCCTGACTTCAGTCGAGGAAGGGTAGAAAAGAAATGTACTCCTCTGGGAGATGCAACTGAGAAATCAGAAGGAGACTGAGTCTGGGAAGGGCGGCCACGAAGGAGCTAGAAAAAGGATCCTTAAGTGTCAGGATAAGAACATAAGAGAACATAAGAGAAGCCCATGTTGGATCAGGCCCGTGGCCCATCCAGTCCAACACTCTGTGTCACACAGGGACCAAAAGTATCAGGTGCCATCAGGAGGTCTAGGACACCAGAAGCCCTCCCAAAGCTGCCCCCCCCCCGAGCACCAAGAATGCAGAGCATCACTTGCTCCAGACGTAAGAACATAAGAGAAGCCCATGTTGGATCAGGCCAGGGGCCCATCCAGTCCAACACTCTGTGTCACACAGGGACCAAAAGTATCAGGTGCCATCAGGAGGTCTAGGACACCAGAAGCCCTCCCAAAGCTGCCCCCCCCCCGCGCACCAAGAATACAGAGCATCCCTTGCTCCAGACGTAAGAACATAAGAGAAGCCCATGTTGGATCAGGCCAGGGGCCCATCCAGTCCAACACTCTGTGTCACACAGGGACCAAAAGTATCAGGTGCCATCAGGAGGTCTAGGACACCAGAAGCCCTCCCAAAGCTGCCCCCCCCCCGCGCACCAAGAATACAGAGCATCCCTTGCTCCAGACGTAAGAACATAAGAGAAGCCCATGTTGGATCAGGCCAGGGGCCCATCCAGTCCAACACTCTGTTCATACAGTGGCCAAAAATACCAGGGGCCATCAGGAGGTCTGGAAGTGGGGCCAGTGTCGCTGTGGTGACCGAGAGCAAGTTAATTCACACCAGCATATCCCCCCGTTACTATGTACGGGTGTGAAAGGTGGACAATGAAGACAGCTGACAGGAAGAAAGTGGATTTGTGGTGTCGGAGGAGGGTTTTACGGATACTGTAGGCCGCCAAAAAGACATATCAGTGGGTTCTAGATCCAGTTAAGCCTGTACTCTCCCTAGAAGTTGAAATGACGAAACTGAGGCTACTGTGCTTTGGTCCCATCATGAGAAGGCCAGACTGAAGGGAAGAGACAGTCATGCTAGGAAAAGGCAGAAGGAAATGAGGAAGGCCCAACGTAAGACTGATCAAGGAAGCCAGGAGGCCCCTCAGTTTGCAAAACCTGACACTGGCAGTTAACAAGAGAACGTTTTAGAGGACATTAATTCATACGGCTGCCATAAGTTGGAAGTTACCTGACGCCGCTTAACACACACACCTAAATAGTTCATTGGTCACAATACACAACGTAACTTAAATTACAGGCTACAGTTTCTTCTGAGTTCATTTTTAAAGGCTTCCCCCCCCCTTTCCAGAGGCAGACTCTAGGGCAGCTGTGTCAAGGAGGAAAAGGGCGTGTGGAGGGGAGGCCTCCGTTCCCATTTTCCCACTGAAAAGGATCACCCTAAGCTGCCTATACCCCTGCAGGGAAAGGACACAGGGACGCCGTCCCCCAGAGACGAGCACATTTTGCGAAGGCCCAGGAAAGGACGTAGGATTGCAGCCATGTTCAGGTGAAGGTCTGAACAGCCGACACCCACAAAAGCAGAAGACTTGTGTGCTCAGGGTCTCCGCCGTGCAACCGGGAGCTTTGGAAAAATGCAGGCTCCACAATCACACGCAGAGTGCCTCCAGAGGGTGGAGGGTACACGCACAAGATGCCCTGGCTAGTCCTTCAGCTGAAAACATAGAGGCCCCAAGCCCTTCCGCTGCTGGACACGCCACGATCAAGCTAGACCTGAACTGAGAAACCCATGTCCGGAGCTCCCAATGGTTTTTAAGAACTCAGTTCTCAGGCACGTCTGAGAACTGAGTTTTCCAAGTTTGCTGGGTACCCCTCACACGGAACTCGAGCACACGCCTGGCTTGGGGTGCGCCACCAGCAGTTAATTCCTGCACACGGACCCAACTATGGGGGCTGGTTTAAAACTTTGCAGGATGACAACAGGGAACCTCAGTTGGGTCAGTCATAGAATCATAGGATCAGAAGGGGTCATAGAGACCATCTAGTCTAACCCCCTGCACAACGCAAAATCAGCCTGAAGCATCCCTGACACGGGTTTGTCCGGCCGCTGCTTGAAGTCCTTTTCTACCTCCGTTAAGAGCTGCAGTCAAGACACAGAGGAGGTACCACGATCGCTTGTGTGGATTTTCCCTGATGGAGTATCTGTTATGCAGGTGTTAGGGGGGGTGGAAGGTGGAGAAATAACCATGTGCTGGCCTGCTGGGGTCACCCTTGTGGTCAATCTGCCCCCCTCCCAATACATCTCTTCACATCTGCAAGGCTTATTTGACCTTTCCCCTCTCCATCACTTCCACAACAACCCTGCAAGTTAGGCTCGGATTGGAAAGGGGCTTCCCTAGCTAAAGTAAGGCTGAGGTCCTAAGACTGCTTCCCTGGCAGTAAGCCTCATTTAATAAAACGGGACTTACTTCCAAGTCGACCAGCTCAGGCTTGCTCCCAACACGCTTCTTGGCAATTAATCTGGAATAACGGCTACCTGCTGTTTCTATCATGGTGGGCAGGGACACAGGTTTGGATCCCTCCTTCCCTTTTGCCCACAATACCTCCCCACCTTGAGAGGAGGGAGCAAGCAGGGCTTGTTTGAGGGCGGCACCAGTGAGGGATGGAGGGGCAGAGTTGCCAACTCCAGGCGGGGAAGCTGCTGGAGGTTTGGGGGACTGAGCAGGGGCCTCAGTGGGACACAGTGCCATACAGCCATCTCCAAAGCAGCCATCTCCTCCAGGGGAACTGTAGTCTGGAGATGAGCCCCCGGAGACTGTCAGGCACCGCTACCAGTCGCAGGGGAGGCGATTGGCATCCTCTCTCCAACCAGGCTCGAGCCCAGAAGGCAACATGCTTCGCTTGGGGCAACCAACAGCCGTCGAGGCGGCCCTGGGAGAGACCTCTCTGCGTGCGCGGGGGTGCCCGGCCCTGCGCGCTCTCCTCCTCCTCCGCCTCCTCCCCGGCTGGAGTTTGACCCAGGCGCATCCCTCCGCTCCGCTCGGCCGCCCGCGTTACCTTTCCACACGGCCCGGCCGGGCACTGCACACGAGCCGCGGCGATATTTAACAGGGCCTCGACGGCGCCCGGCGGCAGAGCGCCTTCGCCCGACGCCAGCAGACGCGCCAGCGCCAGGCGGGCCCCCTCCTCCTCCTCGTGGTGGCCGTCGTGGTGGCGGGGGTCGTGCGGGCCGGCCCCGGCCAGGCGGACGAGCAGGAGCAGAGCCAGGAGGCGCATGGCCGGCGTCGAGCGGCTGCTTTGCACGGAGGCTGCTCCCGGGCAGGGCTCGGCTGGGCTGGAGCGGGAGGCCGGGCAGCTGCTGGCCGTCGGGGCTGGGCTCCGGGAGAGCTGGCTGGAGTCCCCGCGACGGAGCAGGTTCCCCGGGCAGGACTGCAGGCGAGAGCGGCCCGTCGAGGAGAGGCAGGCAGGCAGGCGGCTCGGCACCCCCGCCCCGTCGGAAGTGCCAGGGATGCTCCGCACTTGCTCAACCGCTGGGGGCCGGGCGGGCCGCTGCCACAGCCGCCGCCTCCTCCTCCTCCCCCCCTCGCCGGGGGCCGCCGCAGAAGCTCGGCGTGCCGGCGCGGGGTGTGGTGTCCCCGCAGGGGTGCCAATCCGCTGCCACGCTGCTGCGCGACCCGCCCTGCGCCGGCGCCGGGGGCCGGAAGGCGCGGGGGACACGGAGACCTTCCATTGTTTCCCTTCCCTGGTGGTTCTTTTTAAAAAATGTGCGAATTGAGGACACTCTGCACAAGCTCAGAGGCGCGCGGATGTTCTTTAACAAACGGGGTGAATCCCTTTGCACCTGCCCATATGGGCCTGAGTCCTTTTTAAAAAGGAGAATGGATGTTTCTGAGCCTCTGATCACCCTCCCCCCCCACACACACACTGTTTAAAGCGACAGAGGGCTGGAGTGCCCCTGAGCATGTGCAGAATGGTACTATCCCTTTAAAGAAAAAGCAGGGGACAAAGCTCAAAACTGGGAGTGGGAAA